TTCCACGACATTGATCCAATCAAAGATATCAAAAGAATAGACTTGACCCAACAGGAGTCGCACAGCGCATCCTATTCGCAAGGCGAGACAGGAGGATCTCGCACATCGCACACCTTAATTCTCATAGCGAATTAAGTCGCAGCATACATCAGACTTCGAACCTCTCGCATAGCGCACCCAGGTCGCTATGCAAGAACTCAGACAGAGACCAACCTCCCCAAAGCTCTCGCTATGCGCCCCACTCGCCCTTCGAATTAAATGGGCAGTGATCCCAAACCACCACCAGTCGCATAGCGACAGGATTCACCATGGCGAGTCCATAAACAGAGAACATCACCCTCTGGTAATTCGCACAACGCACCAACTCGCACAACGAATTTCCCAGACAATGAGCACCCTCTACAGGGTCTCGCTATGCGAGACAACTCACATAGCGACTCTGCATAATCAGTAGAACGAAATTTCTCCAGAATTATNTCTCGCATAGCGCACCCAGGTCGCTATGCAAGAACTCAGACAGAGACCAACCTCCCCAAAGCTCTCGCTATGCGCCCCACTCGCCCTTCGAATTAAATGGGCAGTGATCCCAAACCACCACCAGTCGCATAGCGACAGGATTCACCATGGCGAGTCCATAAACAGAGAACATCACCCTCTGGTAATTCGCACAACGCACCAACTCGCACAACGAATTTCCCAGACAATGAGCACCCTCTACAGGGTCTCGCTATGCGAGACAACTCACATAGCGACTCTGCATAATCAGTAGAACGAAATTTCTCCAGAATTATAACCATTCCTTACCACTTCTAAACCTTCCTTCCAACTTCTAATGCCCCTAACTCATATTTCATACCTAGTTAAACTTGTCTAGGCTCTCCTAAAGTGACATTAACATGATTCTAAAGTGATCACTACCAAACTTTTCATTAAAACTCTAATGTTATTAAACTAAGAACCCAATTTCAATTCTACCCTGTTGCTAATGACTTTACTCAGTTTTCTGACCCTAACTAGTTCTAATTTACTCATCTAGACTAGTCTAACTTGCCCAATTGGTCATCGGAGAAGAACCCAATGTCTGAACGCATCAAACTCACCTTCGTCGCCAACACATATGACTAGTCACAACTGATTGGATCAGACCAGGGCTGCTCTATGATCAGGGATGTACCAACTCAGGTTTTTAAGGTCCCCATATCCTACCAACAAAGTACTTTTAACAATTCATCCAAACTGTACTATATGTTCTAGACTCCAACTGCCCTATTACAATGCATCACTTCCCTTCACACTAACCTGAAACAGTACATGTACACTCACCCACTACTCATATTGACTGTTTTACAGAGTTCTTACTCTAGAACAGAAATTCATTACAACCAACAACCTCATCCAAATCAAACAATGTTCAGCACACCATGATTCCACAACTTCCACACATCCAGCAGAAACAAATCAACATGCTCACCACAAAATATAACTCAACAGTAAATAATCATAAATCATCAAGCATACACATCATATAGTTCAAATAAAACATAACTAGCTCCCCTTACCTCAGAGTTGTATTTCCAAGCTCACAAGGACGCCCCTTTTTTGGTATCTCACACACGCGAACTCAATCCAAACCCTACAAACCACCAAAGTGGTGACAGCAACAGCAATAGCTCTTAGAGCTTGATTTGGCAGAAACAGGAAAACGAAACCCCCTAGTAACATACAACCAGTAATGTTGCATGCTCTAGGTTCGAAGATAGTGAAAGAGAAGGGAAAAACGACTTACCGATCCAAACGAAAATACAATCAGTTCAAAAGGAAGCCTTCGGTTTGGTGAACGTCTGAGCACCTTCCAACCTAAGATTGAACGGTTCAATGAGCTGGAAATTTAGAAGGCAGAGAAAACATTTAGAGCAAGGGTTTTAGAGAGAGAAAAGGAAAGAGCTCAGGAAAGTTGAAAAAGAATTCTGAGAGATCCTTCCTAAGGTTAAGTTGACCTTAGTCTGATGAGCCTGACTATCCCACGTAGGGCCCATGGCCTTAAACTTTTTCAGGCTCTTACATTTTCTATCAAATGTACCTTAATTTTATTAATGAAATATATTGAGAAATAAATGTAATTTTAAATTTTAATTACTTTTAAACTATTATAACTTTTATATATAAATCAATTTTATTTATTTATTTTTAATTATATATATATATATATAATTTGCTAACATATATAAATTCTTAAAAGTATATTAAATTTTAGTTGAGAAAAATACTTTTATATGAATTTTAAGTTTTAAGATTAAATATATTTAAATAATTTTTTACTTTTTATTTTAAATCAGAATAAAAATTACTTTCTATTCTTTTATTTTAAATAAAAATAAAAATTATTAAAATATTTTTATATTTAAAATATATCTTTTTCTTTATAAATAGGATATATTTTTCAACTAAAATTTGATATACATAAATTAGTATATTATATATTTTATATCATACTATTGAATACCATATTTTAAAACATTTCCAGTTCAGTTTAAAACAAAATTGAAACATTTAAACAAAAATAATTTTTATTATGTTGATTTGTGCAATGAAATATATTTTAATTTAATTTATTTTGAAAAAAGATAAATTGAAATCTAAAGATTAGTGAAAATATGTATAGTCGCTTTTTTTTTCTATAACAAAGAATAATAAAATTATTATTATTATAATTATAAAGATTAATATAGATAAGTTTTATTTATTTCAGAGATAAGTTTTTATTATAAAAAGTTATTTTAGTTTAAAATTTGATTAATTTTAAAAAAAAATTAAAAAGAATCACTAAAAAAACATTTAACGACAAATTTGGAATAAAAAAGTGTACACCAAAAAAAAATCTTCTTTATTATTATTTTTTTATGAAATAGTTGAATTTAAAAAACAGTAAAATTTAAAATGAAAAATCACTCAAAATGAATACTTAAAGACACAATTGGAATAAAAATAATACTAAAATGATAAATCATTTTTATATGACAGTACTGATAAAAAAAATTGAATATAAACAACTAGAACCTGAGATTTAAGAAGTTTTTGTTAAATAATGTATTAAAAAATGTTACAAACTGTAAATATTTATCAAACATGGTTTATAGGATTAAACTAATGTTTAAGTAGTAAAGAGAATTGTAAAAATAGCTTACCAAAACATGTCCACTCCTTTGAATAATTATCTAATATTAGGCCTTATCTTGAACACTCCCTCCTTGCCAAATTGACTGATTGTGATTTGTCCTATTCCAAATTTTACAACTAAATTATTGATGTTCCTTTATGATGAAAAACAGCAATATGTGGTTCATTTATGTAACTAATAATTAAAATAGTAATGAAATGTTATTTTCAAAAATTGAAGAGAAACTCCTAATTCAAGAAACAATTGTTAAGGGAAGTAAGGGTATGTATGGAGTGATTACTGAGTATTATTTTTAGAGTATTGATAAAATATGTAATCAAAACTTTTATCATCGTCTTTGTGTTGGACTTGTATTAAACGTATTTATTTAAATTAATTTTACAAAAAAGTTAATTTTAAACTTCTTTGAACATATTGGTCTACCAACTGACCCTTAAATAAGATCTTCTTGAAGATCAGTGTCTCACATATATGTTTACTAAAGTATGAAAAATTTGGGACAATACAGAACAAGTGTGAGGCCTTGTCTCACCATTGACTTGGAAAGTTAAGTGGAAAATTTACATTAACCATTTCAAATAAATTTAATTTAATAAAATATAAATTAATTTTTAATTTTAATTATTTGTAAGAAATAAATACATATGGATACAAATAATACTGTGTCCAATTTATTTATAAATAAATATTAAAATATTTATTATTTATAAATAAAAATATCTGTAATATTAGTTATTTGTTACAAATTTTATTTACGGGTATTCTTTCATTATCGTCTCCTATAAATGGGCTTTTGCCCAGAAACCCAACACCTTCACATCTTCCATGAATATAATATCTTATGTGGTTCATGTATATGCATTTCTTGGCACTTCTAGAATTATACAGTTGGAAATATTCTTGTTTCGGTTATTTGTTATTTAGGAAAAGTTTGAAAGGCAACATGAATAGTCAAACATACATAGTCCTGAACGTGGAAATATAGATTAACGAATAGAGATCATAACGAGACTGGTTAAGTTAGTTTGACTTGACTATTTTACTTTTAGAGCACAAATCCATCTTCCTTCTCGATTTTATCTCCATTCTCATGTTTTTGAGAATTTTTATTTCATTTTTATCTTCTATCTGTTATAAATATTAATTAAATATTTTCTAAATATATAATAGCATTTAATATTAAATGTCAAAATCATGCTTTCTTTTTTCTCTTATCAAATATTAAAAATATATATAATTATATAAATATCATGATAAAAAAATAAAAATAATCATATATATAACTTTTATTTTGCTTGTCTAAAATGAATTGTTATGTAATAAGATAGTTTTTAATAAACAAATTAGATTAGCTTAATGTTCGTAAACTTATTGCTAATTAAAAAATAATCACCACCAAATTTAAGTTTAGAAAGTAATGATCTAAATATTTATTTAATTTTGTGTCACTGATACGATTGGGAAAGTATATTTTCACTATATAAAACAGCGTTGTGTGCATTATGCAATCACTTGGAAGTTTCATTTATGACCAGTGGCATATTATTATCAATCCGTAGATTATGCTAGAAAAAAAATCCCTTAACCTATCCGTTAAATTCTTTTACTAAATATGTCAAAAAAGAGTGCAAAACCTAATCCTGATTTCATTATTCCGCGAATATGACGGTGTTTAAATTTTAAATCTTCCATGGGAGAATCTTAATATCAAATTAGCTGGGTTAACATTGAAAGAATAACATACATGATCAAATGTTTTTGGTCAACAATTTTAGTTAGTTAAGTAAAAATTTATCACACTCAGTTTCATCAAGCCTGAAAAATTCAATTCATCATTCCCAGAATCACAAATTACAAATAATCAGTGGTACAAAAGAGAGATAATCTCAATCTTTTTCTAGGTTCAGTTTTCTTTTAATTCTAATCCAATTCACAATTGTAACAAGCAAAATCCAATCCTTCATGGAATCAACAAACTGAAAATAGGCATGTCTCCAAGATTTCTTCAATACTAAGCTGCCACAAACAGCCCAAAAACCGACGATGTAGCCAAGTCCTATGCTCAAATATAACCATAGTTTATTATGGGAACTGTCTTGATCTTCTTCTGTGTCATTAGCTGTGGTGCTTTCATCAACATGCTCTGAGCACTTAACAGACAGAGGTGTCCCACAAAGGTGTGGATTGCCCTCATAGATGGAGGGATCTATCAAAGTATGGAACTGATTTGTTGTTGGTATTTCACCAGACAAGTTGTTATAGGACAAGTTCAAATGTCCCAAGAAAGTCAAGGAAGCCATATTTGGAGGTATTGGACCTGAGAGATTGTTGTTGGAAAGGTCAAGGCTTTCCAATTGATGTAGCGCTCCAATGTTTGTTGAAATGCCTCCAGTTAATTGGTTCCAAGACAGGTTCAAGGAAACTAAGTATGAGAGTTCTGTCAGTGAGTGTGGGATCTCCCCAGATAGATGGTTGCAGGAAAGATCAATAAGATTTATAACATGCATCTGTGATGTGTATTCGATTAATCTTCCTTTCACATACAAATCCATGTGCTCATAGTACACTACAGAATTATCTCGGCCAATATAATAATCACTCGGTGCTTTGAAACCTGTCATGTTGCCTAAGCATGGAGGGATATGGCCTGATAAGTTATTGTGTGAAAGATCAAGAAGATGAAGGTATGGTAGCTGGCACAAACTTTCAGGGATGTTTCCAGTGAGTGCATTGCCTTGTAGTCTTAGCTCATTTATCCAAGTTCTGTTATTCCCGAGCCACTTTGTTATGGATCCAAAAAATGCATTATCTCCAAGATCTATTGTGTACAGATGGGGGCAATTTGGCAACACAGATGAAATCTCCCCAGAAAGATTATTGTTGCTTAGTTGAACTACCCTAAGTGAAGGTGTTGTGCACATCCAAGCAGGGATTCCTCCTGATAGATTGTTGCCTGATAGATCAATGGTATAAAGGCTTAGCTTGTGTCCCTCTCCATATAAAGGTATTTTCCCTGATAAACTGTTGTTTGAAAGATCAAGTAAAGTCAAATCACTTAGCAAACTCATGGATGAAGGTATGCTGCCAGTTATAAAGTTCCCTGAAAGATCCAAACCTTCCAACTGTGACATGCCTTGGCCAATATTTGAAGGAATTGAGCCAGAGAGAAAGTTGTTGCTTAGATAAAGAAAAGTCACACCAGACCAAACTGGAATTGACCCTTCCAAGGCATTAAACCCCAAACTAACATATGCAAAATCACAAAAGTGTAAGGACTTTGGAAGGCTTCCCTTCAATTGGTTGTAGGAGAGGTCCATAGTAGTGATCTGTGGTGAGAAATCCCAAAACCAATTTGGCACTCTATCTGATATTCCAGTGCTTTTGAGAACAATGGTCATTAGGTTGCTTTGAGTTTTGAGCCATGCAGGAAACTCAGGGCCTAATTGACAGTCATGAATTTTCAGATACACTACATTAAAAGATGGAGCCCAGTTTTGTGGGATGTTGAAAGTTAAAGACCCCCTTTTGGAGGACACAGAAAATGTGGACAACTTTGTGAGGTTATGGAAATGGTTTTCAGTTAGAAAGCCTTCCCAAAAATTCCCATCAAGGTTCAGTGTCACCAGTTCAGTGAGCTGACCTATGTTAGGTGCAATAGTCCCATTCATCATGTTGTGAGAAAGGCCAAGAAATGTCAAATATGACAAATTTCCAATGGATGAAGGAATTGAACCAGACAATTTGTTACCCTTTAACATAATGGTTCTCAAATTTTTAAGGTAACCCAATGAGGTTGGTAAATTCCCTGTAAGTTTATTGAAGGACAAATCTAGTTTCTCTATGCTACTGTTGGTACATATTGTTAAAGCCTCCACAAGTCCTTCAACATCACCAACAATCTCAAGGTTTGATGACAAGTCTAAACTATGTAACTTGCGAAAATTTCCCCATGAAACCTCAGTGATGGGACCTTTAAGTCCTGCACCGTCTAATTCAAGTTCTATCAAGGTACTGATATTGGACAGCCATCCTGGTATCAAGGAATCAACCGAATTGAAAGAAAGATCAAGAACTAAAAGTGATGTAAGGTTTAAAAATGGAAGAGTTTGAGGTAAAGCAGAAAGTTTACAATCAGATAACCTCAAAAATGAAAGAGATGGAACCCTATTGATAGATTGGAGCCATGAACTTGATGCTCTACTGAGATTCACACCACTCACATCTAGATATTGGAGAGATGTAAGACCAGACAACCAACTCAAATCAGAAGACCACAATGAAGAGGAAGGCGTTGACAAAGAAAGATACTGCAAATTAGACAAGTTTCCTAGCTGAGAAGGAACCTTTCCAGCAAAGGATGAACGGGATAAATTGAGATACCACAACTTATCAAGTGAACCTAAAAATGATGGGACTTGAACATTCTCAAAATCATTGTGACTTAAGTCCAAATAGTTCAAATGTTTCAAGTCAAGCAGAGAAGCATTCAACTCACCACTCAAAGGCCATTTGGTGTGTGTGGCTGACTCATTTGTAGCCTTGGAACAGATTTCTGTGCCTCTGAGGTTTAGCCTTATCACATTCCCTGCATGTTTGTTGCATCTTACACCCACCCATTTGCAGCAATCACTGCCAACCCATGAAGATAGTCAATGAAAAGGATCACTTAGACTTTCTTTAAACTTAAGAAGGGCTTTTCTTTCCATCTCAATGCACTCAAAACTATTATCCTTAGCAGCAGAATTTGGCTCTATAGCTGCCATAACAAGTGATTGAAGCAAGAGTGAAAAAAGAATGATAGAAACTGGAAACATGGCTTGATTTTTCTCCATGACATTGAATATAAAACTGTGTTATCTTGAGCACCTTTTTATAGCCATAAGTGTGTTGAATTCAACCCTCTAATTACATTTTCATTTCTCATACACTTACTAACAGTACGAAATTTCCACTTAACATGTACTGATTGTTTATCAAACTATTAATTTGCTCTTAGTCTATCTGCCAGGTATTACTAACATTGATACTAATTTTTTTGTTCTGTAGACGGTGGTAGAATTCCAAGTGCAAACAATTTTGTACAATTAATTAGTCTCTTTATAATTGACTTAACTATTTTTTTTAGAGTGAGAGTTACGTCTCTGAAAATTAGCATTAATAGAAAATTTTGCTTTATCTATTTAAGGGTAGGCGTGTAGGCATATAGGCGTGTATTTGATAAATTATGTTAGTGGAGTGGAATGGAAAGTTAGAAGAAACTACTTGCACTGTGACAAGAAAACATGATGTCGTCTCGTGACTACTAAAGTACAGCAATCCGTGTTTTGTTCACTCAGGAGAAAGTTAATTTGATTCGGAAAACTACTTTAAAATTTTATTCCTTTGAGAACAGGTCAATGTTACACAGCAATATCTTGAAGAATTCACTTTTTAACATTTCCTAAAGAGGCATGAACAGATTAAAATTTTGAACTTTTGTTTGTTTTCATCATACGTTGTGGAAAGAAATGGAAATTTGAGTAAATTAAACGAAGTTCTGGAATCAAATTTTGTTGAATGTAATCAATCTACATCTAAGAAAATTCCTCACTAAGTAATTTACCTTACTGACCCAATCTCATTGGTTGACACTTGTCTCAAATAATGGTTTTTTCATCATTTTAACTTCTTTGTCCAAATGACTAGTTTACCTAAGTTTCATTACACCACTGTGATACTAATGTTATCAAAATTGTCATTCAATCCGGTTTAGTTTTCTACTGAGTAAATCTAATTTAATTTATTTATTAATAAATTAAAAAAATTTGAAACCAATTTAATTTATCACATATTTATGAGTTAAACAAGTTAGACTAACTTAATTATAAGTTTTTTTTTTAATTTTATAAAAATAACAATTTTTTTTAATTTAGATTTAAATAAATTTTAGTTTAAAATGATGTTAAATTTTAGAATCAATTCAAAAAAATATACTATAATTCAAAATCATAATAAATTTCAAATGCAATCCAAAATCTAACATAAAAAAGCAAAATTAGGTAGATTTGTGTGTTAGTTCAGTGAATCAAATTCTTAGTACGTCGAAAATTTTGAATCTCTTTTAACTCAGTTGAATTCAAATTCATTACAGACGGAATTGATTCACGAGTTCTAACGTATTTTTACAACGTAAGTATTTTCGTCTTTCCCGCTTCTTTCCCTTCTGTAACTCGGGAGTGATTTAATGGAAAGATTGATTTATCAGCTTCTTCGGCTTCTTATTCTGCATGAACCAATCTATCACAGAGGTCTTCCGCATATTTGGATTGATTTCTCAACCTTCGGTTCTCCTCCTTCTTCGTCTTGGTTGATGCCATTGTTGAAGAAGAAAGAATTAAAATTCTTGATCAAGTTTAGCTGATCACCGTGCTGATTAGGTTTAACTTAATTATTTTGTTTCTGCTATCCAACCGGTGTTGCTGAAACTTGTACTTCAAGTAGGTAGCACTGAAACCTATTAAACATGAAAATTAATGTGTTGTGATATTGATGCTTTTAGGCAATTTCAGTTACATCTGTTCCTAAAGCCTCGTTGTATTTTTCTTCAACGAATTAATATTTCGTTATCTCTAATTTCACAATATCATATATTTCTTTCCCCTAAGACAACTTATCAGTTTTATCTTATATTTTAGTCCTAAACTTTAATTTTCTCTTTTTACCTATATATAAACTCATTAATGAAATAGGGACCACACAAAATATATAACACAAATTTAATCTTAAAATTTTGTAATCTAAAATAAAATTTTACATTTCAAATTACAACATTTGAAAATCAAAATCATACACTATACAATATAAAACGTAATTCAAGAAATCAATTTTAACTTTCATTATAAATATTTCAAATTTTATAATTAAAAAAAATGAATATAAAATTCTCTAAATCTCCAAATGAAAAAAACATAAGATTCTTCGAAACATAAAAAAACATATAATAATATTTAAAACAAAAAACTATAAATATAAAGTGACACAATTAACAACCTTCTGATGATATTCATTTATGTTGAAATATATATCAAAATTTACCTCTCAATATCTCAAACTTCTGCCTAAACTTTAAAATAAAAAATCAATAATAAGTTACAACAAACTCTTTCTTGTTTAGGTTGTGTTTGCGTTCACCGATTTACTTTTAGAAAGAATTCGCAACGACGATAACTATATTCAAATACCCTATATTTTAGTTAATTAATTAAATTAAATTTTATTTTTAATTTTCTTAACCTTATATTTCTATTCTAGTTTTTGTGATTTTACATATGTTTGTTTGTTTTTTCATCTTGGTTCAAATGAATTTAAAGTTTAGCACATTATATAATTACTCAATAACTTAGTTGATAAATGTATACATTATTAAATATTAGAACAAAGTTATTCATTTTCTAAAATATATTAGAAAAAATGGTGGTGCAAAAGCGAGAACCTTTAATTATGTAAGAAAAAAAATGTAAAATATAAACAAAACAAAGCACACGAACATCTGGAACATAAAACCCTAAACCCTAGAAACTGCTTCTTCTAGAGCCTTCCCTCCTTTCCATAGAAAAGGAGCGTGAAGCATTTCCCTTCTGCGTTAGTCTCTGCAACTTCTTGAGTGCTTTCTCAGTTGCTGGCATCATGTACCGCTTTGCAACCTCCCTTGCCTCCAAAGCTAGGTAAGTTTTCTAAAATGGCACTGTTCTCTTCTGCCTTTTGAATTTTTTCTTCAACTTTTTTTTTTAATTTTCTGCCATTGCTCTTCTGGGCCCCTTAGGAAATGCCTAAGGATGGATCAAAATTCTAACTTTTTTTTGGGTTTTGGGTGGCATATCTTAGATAGATCCAGTAATGCTGATTACCAATTTGTGGTGTATTGTTTCAATATATCATTGTATTCAATGTTCTTGACTGTTAAATTTTGTTCTTATGATTGCAGAATTGCTAGGAGCAGCACTCAACAAGTAAAATACCATTCTTTTCATGGGAAATTATTTTGTTAAAATTGTTTTGAAATTAATGATCCGTTTTCCTGTAATATATATATATATATATATATTTATTTATTATTATTATGATGCTGAGTATTGGGTTTTTGCATTCCAAAGATTGGAAGTAGGGTGAGTTGGAGCAGGAATTATGCTGCCAAAGACATTAAGTTTGGCGTGGAGGCCCGGGCTTTGATGCTTAAGGGTGTTGAAGAGCTTGCTGATGCTGTCAAAGTAACCATGGGCCCTAAGGTGACGATATTTTCTTTGTTTTCTTGTTATGTCTTATTGGGAAAGATATCTTGACTACAAGTTGTAGAACAAGAGGAAAGGATTGTAAATGGAACTTTATATCAAGTGTACGATTGTTGATCCCGTGTTTTTATTTAATCGCATATTTATTTGGTTTTCTGAAGGGTGAACATGTCTTTGGATCTACAAATAAAAGATATTGATCCTATTCTCGTCACTTTGGTTGGTGTTGATAATTGCTGTTTATGTTAAACTTTTAGGGGCGTAATGTGGTGATTGAGCAGAGCTTTGGTGCACCCAAAGTGACAAAAGATGGAGTAACTGTTGCTAAGAGCATTGAATTCAAGGACAAAGTAAAGAATATCGGTGCCAGTCTTGTAAAGCAGGTTGCAAACGCTACCAATGATGTCGCTGGCGATGGTAAGCTGTTATAACCATACAGGATTTTACTTTATGGGTTTAAACTTCTGCACTGGCTGCTTTCTTGCTAAGGAAATGCTAATAATGAGGGAGCAATTTGACAGGAACCACATGTGCTACAATTCTTACCCGAGCTATATTTACGGAAGGGTGTAAGTCAGTTGCAGCTGGAATGAATGCTATGGATCTGAGACGAGGTATAAATATGGCTGTTGATGATGTGGTGACAAATCTGAAAAGCAGAGCACGGATGATTAGCACTTCTGAAGAAATTGCACAGGTTTGTTTATCTTCCTTTTTTTGTTAGAGCCACTATTGGCATATTGCAGGAGATTGGAAACAGCAAGGATGCTTTTGAATCACGAGCATTAACCGATCTTTACAATTTGTTTGTGGTGGCGATAGGTTGGGACAATATCTGCCAATGGGGAGAGGGAAATTGGTGAGTTAATTGCAAAAGCTATGGAGAAAGTTGGCAAAGAGGGTGTGATCACTATCTCAGTAAGTAATTATATTAATCTTTTTAGGAAATATTTCTTTGGGTATTCTTTCTTGGTCCAGAGGGCATTTTTTTATGTCCTTGATATAATCGATATAATGTTCAGTAGATATTCCCCCCTATGATTTTTAATTCCAACCCACCTATTCTTTATTATGCCTTTTCTGTTCCTCCTCTTTATCTTTCCTCTTTCAAAGGGGTCCATGGTTTGAATAGCAATCCATTTCTTAATATGCTAGGGGTTAACTTTTATAAACTTTGTCAGGATGGCAAGACATTATATAACGAATTGGAAGTTGTTGAAGGAATGAAGCTTGACAGGGGATACATTTCTCCGTATTTCATAACAAACCAGAAGAATCAGAAATGTGTATGCTCTCGCTTTACATATCTACTTTTCTGGAGTTTACGTTTGTCCTTGGTCATTAGTCTTTATTTATTTTTGTTGGATATTATATGTAACCATTTGATGTCGCTGTGCCATTAGGAACTAGAGGACCCTCTCATTATAATCCATGAAAAGAAAATCTCGAGCATAAATGCCATTGTTAAAGTATTAGAGTTAGCTTTGAAGGTGAGCAATGTCATTTCCTTCATGTTGCTTTGATTTCTAGAATATTGGTATCAGCTGACGCGTCTATATCTCCAGAGACAAAGACCTTTGTTGATTGTTGCTGAGGATGTGGAAAGTGATGCCCTTGCAACTCTTATTTTAAATAAACTTCGTGCTGGAATCAAGGTTTGTTTTTCCTATATGAAGTCGTACCTTTCAGTTCTTAGTGCAATTAATTTTGGATTATTGATATTGCTTATTTAGTCTGATATTTGCTGCATATTGGTTTAGGTATGTGCAATAAAAGCTCCAGGTTTTGGTGAAAATCGGAAATCTGGTCTCCAGGATCTTGCTGTCCTTACGGGGGGTCAAGTAAGTTTTCTGTCTAGTAAGTTTTATGTTTGCTGATTTCTTTTCTTAAATTCCATCTAACAAAAATGATATATTTTCTTTATTCTTCCAGCTTATCACTGAAGAGCTTGGCTTGAATCTTGAAAAAGTGGATTCGGAAATGTTTGGCTCTTGCAAAAAGGTAACCTTTTAGCTTACTTTTTTATATATACCATGTGAAGGCATGATAGAGCTTTGGTATGTTTTCTTTTTCATTTCTCATTTCGATGTTTTGCTTGAGGGTGAATCATGACTTTCCTTTGGGTGCTACTGATTGTGTTTATACTTAAAACTAATTTTCATTGATTTTTCTCTATTATTACTGGTTAAATGATTTAGACTACTAAATAGGTTTTTCATTGTTGTATAGATAACAATTTCTAAAGATGATACTGTTATTCTTGATGGAGCTGGTGATAAGAAAGCAATTGAAGAAAGATGCGAGCAGGTTTGTTTGAAACTTATGTTAGATTTGATTTTATTATTGTTGCTTTAATTTGTTTCTATGTAGTAATAGATCAGATTGTCGATGTTTTTTATTTGTTTTTTGACAAATCTTTATATACAGATTAGATCAGCAATTGAAAACAGCACTTCAGATTATGACAAGGAAAAATTACAAGAAAGATTAGCCAAACTTTCTGGGGGTGTTGCAGTGCTTAAGGTACCTTGGTTGCTATTAGGTTTTTACTTGGCAATATAAAGTTGTCATGAGAAAATTGACATTTCAAATTAAACTTTTGCAGATTGGAGGAGCTAGTGAGGCCGAAGTTGGAGAGAAGAAGGATAGGGTGACAGATGCCTTAAATGCAACCAAGGCTGCTGTAGAGGAGGGAATTGTACCAGGTAAATTATTAGCACTACCAGTTGTAAGCTTAGTGTTTTATGTTCCACCAAATTGATATGTTATACTCTTAGCGCAGGTGGTGGTGTCGCCCTTCTTTATGCATCAAAGGAGTTGGATAAGCTTCAAACTGCCAATTTTGATCAGAAGATAGGTGTCCAGATTATCCAAAATGCTTTGAAGGTTAGTGTTTTCTTTTTTTCTAGCTTTTTTATTTCATAGATCATCTTCTGTTAGCATATCTTTAAACTTTCTTATTATACATTTCTTGCTGGATTTGGTAATATTTTGGGCTTTATTAGCTCTAAATATAGTATGGTTTAACTAACTCTTTTAACTACCTGTGCTAACAAACAATGCAGACTTCTGTGCACACAATTGCTTCAAATGCAGGAGTTGAAGGTGCTGTTGTTGTTGGCAAACTGTTGGAACAGGATAATTATGATCTTGGGTATGATGCAGCTAAAGGTAATGATTCTTTGTCTGTGTTTTCATGACAGTACTTATTTTTGACTAAAGATGTGTGACCCTTTTATTATTACTGATTCTTTGTTTTTTTCTTTTTCTGCTTCATAATTAGGTGAATATGTTGATATGGTTAAAAGTGGAATCATTGATCCATTGAAGGTGATCAGGACCGCCTTGGTTGATGCAGCCAGGTAAGATAGGATGTTTAGGGAACTTTTTGTAGTTATTGATGTATTAGATTTGTTTTATGTCATGCTTTGCTTGATGCCTATCTATTCTTTTGCAGTGTGTCATCTTTGATGACGACAACTGAAGCTGTTGTGTCTGAACTTCCAAAGGATGATAAAGATGTTCCTGCCATGGGTGGTGGCGGCATGGGTGGCATGGATTATTAAGGAACTATTTTGGTAGTTTTTTTCTGGACTTGGAGTGAAGTGGTGCGTCACCATTATTTTGCCTTTTTTTTCCGCTGATTTGTTGACAAAAGGCATCATGTATCCGTGTAAGCATAGGTAGAGATAAAAAAAATATGTAGGGAGAGATTGTGGTTGCAATGGAATTGAGGAACAACTGAAACATTTTTCAGATTCCAAATTATGATTGAACATTGTTCCACTCTGAAATTGTCAATTGAAAGACGGCCCCGAAATAATTTCAGTAGATTGAACTCCGTATTTTTCTAACATTGCAAACATATTAGTAGTTGACATTTCTCAGACGAGACAACTTTCTAACTTTTGTGGATAAGCTTTATATAAAGATGCTTATAAAATGGATTCTTTATCTAATATTATCTTTGTTTAGATCTATTAAAACAAAAGGGTGGTAGTAGTGTGATTTTCCATTTCAAAGATTATTTTTAATTAATCTTATTTTCTTAATGAAATGGTGGTAGTACGATGTCAAAACAATGAATTGCTAATTACAATTAACGTAGGCTGAACAAGTGCTTCAAGATCAATAGTCTACTGAAATTATTGTTTTACTAATGATAACAAGAAATTTATATAATAACGCTTAAAAATATTCTCCATCTCTATTTTGACAATTCAAACCCTGCAAGAGGCGCATATTTTTCCAAAAAAGAACGTGATTTTCATTAAGTGATAGCAGAACATAGTCAAAATAGAAGAAGTTGAGGAATCTTTCCTTATCACTCTGACAAAGGGATTTACTCACATAATTTATACGAGGGTTTCATGATGAGCACTATTTTTTCTACAATTTACACTTGAGTCTATATCACGGTCCATCCAAATTTATAGATTTTCTTGGATTCGTTCTGGCTGTCATTGGTTCGAAGTCTCGGACTAAAACATTTCTTGGTCTGTATTTGGCAAAAGGTACAAGGTGATCTTCATACCTCCATCCAGAGTCGGAAGGAAATTTGAATTGGTGAAAGATTGGGTGCCAGAGTCGGAAGGAAATTTGAATTGGTGAAAGATTGGGTGCATCAACCTGGTCCAACTCTCGTCCTTTAAGCAATCAACTGAGCTTTGTATGTTTAAATAAGAAAGGTATAAGTTGAAGAGCATATATCTAGTCGTGATCAAAATCATCTACTTCAAGAACACTTTCGAGTGCAGACATCCATGCCGGCAAACCGTTGGAAGCATCTTTTTTCACTAATACTTCTAATTTGCCAACAGCTTGCCTTGATACTCCATATCTGAGCAAAAGATTTCCAAGCGATCTAAAACTAAAATTATCAACAGGAATGGAAGCACTTAACATTTCCCTAAAAGTTTCCATTGCTTCCTTGGGTCTGCCAGCAATAGCATACAGGTTAAGTATATTGTTATAACTTAAATCTGTCAAGTGTCCCAATTTTCTTATCTGCTTTGCAATTTGAATGGCTTCATCATACATCTCCATTTTCTTGTACAAACACAGCATCATCGTGAAAGTAAATTCATTTACAGCTCCATTTTCCTTTAATGTCTCATATATCTCTTTTGCTTGGTCAACCATTGATCGCTTAACATAAAGAGCAATCATACTGTTTGAAGAATAAACAGTAGGAGCTTCTTCTGATAATTGAAGCAACTTGTATGTTTCTTCTGCCTTTTCCAGGTTGTCAACTTTCGCATACAATTTGATCAAAGAATTATATATTACTGTATTCCCTGGCAAGCCAGCTTTGTTCATTTCATCAACATAACTTATGGCTTCTTTAACCCTTCCAACGTCAGAGAAAACATTGATCAATATGCCGTAAACTATAACATCAGGCTCCACATCATGGTTAATCATTTCCCTGTATAAATCTTCAGCGATTTCCAACAGGCCTAATTTTGCTAAGCTAGAAATCACTGCACAGTATGGGATGCAATCACTTACTAGCCCTGCCTCCTGCATTTTTTTCAGATAAGTTTTGGCAACATGTGGCTGGTCAGCACTGGCCAAAATTTGTATGAGAGTAGTATAGCTGCATCTATCTGCAACTACGCCATGTTTTTCCATACTATCAAACAATTGACATGCCTTCTCATAGCATTTCCCCACGCCATAAGCTTTAATCATCACGTTGAACTCAAGGACACTGAGATTCTTCCGTTCTTGGCACAAAATGAAGACTTTCTCAGCTTCCAAAGTATACCCACGTTCCCCATATGCATCAATGTTGGAAGCATAGGACTCAGATGTCATATTTCCAGTTAGATGAAACCTCAGAAACCATAACAAGGACCTGTCTAGCATTCCTGCTTCTATGTACATCCTAGTCAACGCAGACTGGGTATATTGGTCAACTTCAAGACCCCGCTCATCCATTTCTCTTACAAGCTCTTCTGCTTCATGAACCATTTTCCTTATGGAGTATGCATACAAGAGAGTACGGTAACTCACAAGATCAGGCACGAGGCAGGCTTCCTTCATTGCTTCAAAATACTTTGTTGCCCTACCTATATCATTATGCTTAGCATAAAGAGAGATAAGAATATTATACGTTCTTGTGTTAGGCGAGCATCGCAGCTCTTCCATTTTCTGGACAAGCAAACTCACTTCCTCTAGTTGTCCATGGTTTCCACAAATGTGAATCATCGTATTGAACGTCACTGTAGTGGGTGCCACACCTCGTTTAAGCATCTCCATTAAAGTCTCGGATGCCTCTTTAAGTTGACCAGCCTTTCCATACGTATCAATCAGGGTATTATAAGTATGCGAGCTGAATGAAACATCAGCACACGCCACCCTTTCATCCAATTCCCGAGTATCCACCCCTTCATCATTGATTCTCAAAGGTTTGCTTTTGCTCCTCAAAGGTTTACCCGAAGACCACTTTTTGAAAAACTCCTCGGCTTTCTGAAACTCTCCTGCTTTCTTATATAACTGAACAACAATCACCATAGTGACCTCATCAGGCTCCACCCCATTTT